ATTTTTAGCTGTGCCGCGGCAGTAAAGCGGGGCCAAAGCGCTGACACAACAACGCGACGCTAAACGGATGACGAAACTCTTGAAGATGCATATTACTAGACCTAACTGAGCTTTCTTTGTGACAACTCCGCGGCGTGCGGGGCCCGGGGCCTGGCTCGGCCCACCGCTGCGGCTCAGCCGCTGCCTTGGAATAGTGTATTTCGACTAACGGAGGAAGAAGAAAAGCGGGTAGAACATAAAGGTTCCTGATTGGTCGAGCCTTTACCCCCACTACCGGCGTGACGTACAGGCGGGAACCTCTCGACCAATCGTGAACGTTTGTGTTCTAGCCGCTCTTCTTCTTCCCTCGTTAGTCGAAATACACTATAGACACGACGCGTCTCGTGCGACTTCACTCTGACCCTTGGCCCTGAATCCACCAGGGCGACATTCAGCTGCCGTGCTTTATTCAGCATCGAGGACTAAAACTGACGTATGCACAACTTGTGGTCGTTGCAGGTGCTGGCCACTCTGGCCGCCCACTCCAACTCCATCTCGGTGGGGTTGTGCCAGGGCTACTCCGCCATCCTGCTGCCCCAGCTGCAGGACAAGGCCTCCAAGCTGGTCATAACTGAACAGGACGCCTCCTGGATAGGTGAGTAGCGAGTCTCCGGCGAAGAGTTTACACTGACTGACTGTGCCCCGTTCAACCTGTTCTGACCTCGGTTTGGTGTGCAGCCGCTCTGGGCGTCATCTCCAACCCCCTGGGCGCGCTGCTGTCCGGGCTGCTCGTCGAAGTGATGGGGCGCCGGGGCGCCATCCAGGTCACGGCCATCCCCTACGTGGTGGGCTGGATTTGCCTTGCGCTCGCCAGGGAGTTCACCCTGCTGTGCGTCGGCCGGTTCATATCAGGTGAGGGCGAGGAGACGTGGATCAAGCAGGGCACGCTCTGCTTTTCGCCACCGCTCCAGGCTCCAAACGTGACGCCGGTGTTCGTGTCGCAGGTCTCGCGGTGGGCATGGCCGCCGCCAGCTACGTGTACGTCGCCGAGGTGGCGCCCGCGTCGCACCGCGGCCCCCTGTCGGCGTGCGGCCCCGTGCTGGTGTCGCTCGGGGTGCTGATCGTGTACACCCTGGGCTTCTTCGCGGCCTGGCACATTGTGGCCGCACTCTGCACCATCTTCGCGCTCTTCAGCCTCGTGGCCGTCAGCCTGGTGCCCGAGACGCCCCCGTGGCTCGCGTCCCGCGGCCGCACCGCCGAGGCCCGCACCGCTCTGGTCTGGCTCAGGAGGTCTCCTGCAGCCGCCGACAAGGAGCTGGCTGAGATCATGGAATCGATGGCCCATGCCAAAAAGGTGAGGGGTCGCGGCGATGACCTGATGCTGGCGGGGATCAAACTGTGTTAGTAGCCGCCAATACCACCCTTGATGTTGATTGCCGTGCAGGAGGCCGAGGCCGGGGTAGGGCGCTGCTCATTCGTACAGCCTACCATCTGGAAGCCCTTCCTTCTACTGCTGGCCTTCTTCTTCTTCCAAGAGGGCTCTGGAATCTACGTTGTGTTATATTACGCCGTTTCGCTGTTTCAAGTAAGAATCCGTAAACATCCTACGCGTTAGCCCGTTGTTCATTCGAAATTAATCTAAATTTGTACTCCCGCTTAATCAGGAGGTCGGCACGGAGATGAACGAGTACGTGGCGTCCATCTGGGTGGCGTGCATGCGCCTAGTGATGAGTATCCTGGGCGCGCTGGCCATCCAACGGCTCAACCGTACCACGCTGGCGTGCATGTCAGGCGTGGGCATGTTCGTGGCCATGCTCGCCGCCGGTTTCTACGAGCACCTCTTCTCGTCCGTGCCGCCGTCGTCGCGGCCGCTGCCCTGGGTTCCCCTGGCCTGCTTCCTGGTGCACGTGTGCGTGTCCATGCTGGGCTACCTGCAGCTGCCGTGGATCATGACGGGCGAGCTGTTCCCGCTGCGCGCGCGTGGCGCCATGGGCGGGCTCGTGTCCTCACTCGGCCACCTTCTCATCTTCACCTCCGTCAAGACATACCCGGACCTTCGCAACGCCATAGGTGAGTTGTCCCCCGTGGCGTGTGTGCTCCTTGCAGAGTGCTCTCCAGCACCCGCGCTGCCTACCCGTACGGGGCCCATGGAGCTAATGCTGGCTGCCTCTCCTCTCCGCAGGCATGGATGGCGTGTTGTGGGGGTTCTCGGCGTTGTCGCTGTGCGGCGCCGTGTTCGGGAAGCTGCTGCTGCCCGAAACCAACGGGAGGACGTTGCGCGAGATCGAGATGTCCTTCGCGGGGCAGGGGCAGCTTGGCCAGGCCGTGTCCGACAAGACCACCGACGAGGAGGCCGCAGTGCCGCCCCCGGCTCCGGCGACGGGTGGGAGGAAGAACAGCCGCGGCGAGGCCGTGGCCGTGCCCGTCGACACCAACGACGACTCCATCCTGGACATCGTCAAGGCGCGCGACACCATCACCGTGGGCAGGCAGCGATAAAGGACAGCAGTGAAGTTTCTTGGCTGAAATCAAATCGTGAAAACATAGTGAGTGGCAGCTCGAGCAGAGAGGAAGGTTGAGGCTTTCCTACAATGTGAGAAACTAAAAACACAGGGAAGAGCAAACATCCAGCAGGATTCCTCCATATTGACTTCGATCTGTAGAAGCAGGGGAATATTGTGCTACACATTGCACCCTCTGCACATGTTGCTTGATCTCTTGGCGCTAGGTGAGGGTACGCCCACTGCAAACTTAGGTTGAAATTTAATATAACTTGAATCGAGTCAAGTCATAGTGATCATTAGGTAGATAGTAGGTTGGATACCTCCTCCAACTACTGAGAATTATAAGACTGCTGGACAGTCTGTTGATAGGTGTGTGTCAGGCTGGACCTGGTGCTGATTTAATTTATCTTACCCTTGCATCAGTATTATTGCAATTGGAAGAGAGAGACTGTACTGTAAGGGCCCAGAGCGATTGTGTATATTTAAAACCTGACCTCCTCTTACATAATTTGTTCAAGAGTGGGAAGAATTAGTTCAAGTCTTTCAAGTACTGATGGTTGTCAGGTTTATCAATATCTTAAGAGAAAGACCACCCCATAGCACAAGCTCAATGGAGACAAAGAACCCTCTTATTTTGGTTTTGAACCATAAAAAGACTGTTTACTACAATAATGGTATAAAATAAAGCAATTCAAATTTTGTGATTATAGTCAGTCTTGTCTATGTTTTGATGTGGTGATTTTTCACATTCCTTTAGATTAAGACGTTCATGTTCTGCATGCCATAACATAGTGGTCTGTAATTCATATTTTTATTTGGTTGAACTGGTACAAACAGAAGCCATCACAGTAGCATAAATCTGTTCCTATGAGAGAATCAACTTCATTGGAATAGCTTTCAGAAAATTGGAAAACATGTATGAAGCGCAATCTAAGAATTACCAAAGGACTTATAATAAAAAAAATAACAAATAAAGACAAGTAGCTTTATTTGGACAAATGAGATTTTTTTAATGTTACTTTACAAGACAGACCACAAAACACAACTTTCGTAAGCTAACAGCAATGGTGTTTTTTTGTTTTTTACATTCTCGTAGATACAAAAAGGAACAAAATAACACTACTTTAGTAATTTTTATGTAGGTAGGTATGGATAGTTCTGACTCAACTCACCCATTGATGCTTATCATTACACAACTTAACAGCTGAAAATGTGACATTTTAGGAGAGAAGGACATCTCCTTCAAATATCTATGGAATAGTGAACAGGAAAGAATTTTGTGAATTTCAATCAGGCACAAACTGTGTAGAGTTGAAATTCAGACCTTTTTTGTGGTAAGGACTGGATAATATGTCTAAGTAGCAGAACAGACCTCTACACAATTTGTTCCAACCCAACTTCGTAACTTATTTTCCATGACAGACGCTCCTCTGCCAATCAAAAGATACAATAAACGCTACATTCTACCAAAGAATTCACGTGATTTTAAGGAAACAGCAGGGTGTGTTGTCGGTTATTCAAACTTCCAGTTTCCTTAACTCAGTATTTCCACACATTTTGACTACATTTATACGGGTTTTTTCCTTTTAAAAAAATGATGTCAGCTCGTATTCACAATCATTTCAAATCATTTCATAGAAAGGACTATCTAGCTACACACAGTTAGACTGTACTTAACCATGTTTGTGTATTGTTCAAAATCAAGATACAGTACAGTACCATGTTAATAAGAACAGTAGAAATATTCCATTTTTAAAATAAATTATATTGAGAGGACAGAATACACACTTTATACAAACATTAATTGGTTCTCTCTGACTGCATGACCTCCAGAGTTGCGAGAAAAGTGTAGTGTTTACTATATTTACAACTTTTGTCAGAAATCTGGAGGTCTATTGCAGGCAAGCACGGTAAAAGAAGTGGTGGTCAGAAACAGAAGCAGAAAGAAATCCTGAGCCCATATGTGGAGACAGGTCTTGGTGCCACCACATTGATCTCTCTCTACTTCGGTTAACACCTTTCGTCTCTACCTCGCGGCCAGCCAGTCAACAAGAATGTGTGCTATAGCATTCTGTATATAGATTTTTTTGCGATTTTCTCGAATTGCACCACGCTTACATTCTGGTTGGGATATTTAGCATAATGATATTTCATTGATGGTCAGCCCTTAGGTACTTCATTCAAATTATCGTACTTAGCAAGAGAAATTGAAGCTTGGTGGAGCTGTATTAGCACTTAGCAAACACATACAAACATCCAGGCGCTATGTGCCACACTGACCTTTCTCACGCCAACACAACCCACAGGCAGTGGCAAAAGCAAACATCAGTGCAGAATGTTCCTCTACAGATCTCCTTTCCTTCAATTAATGGGGATGGGAAGATGATAAATAAAAAAAGGAATCATACAATAAAAACAGAAAAGAAGTTCATTTGGTGATTTTTGGAGAGGAGACAATGTTTTTGACATTTATGAGAAATGATAAATATAATCTGAGCAGCAAAGATGCTACCCAACATCGGCTTCCTGGTCTGCTGAAACCAGTCAGGCAATTACACACATAATTAAATTAACTTTACATAGCCTGCACACTCTGCACTTGAAGACAACATTCACGCAATACACTCATCACATACACTCACATACATGACTCACATTGTTCATTCACACAAATGCACATTCAAGAGGAAACCTAAATATTGAAATGCATTTGTGAGAGGAAAAAAAAAACTTTCCATGGCATCTTTTCATTCAAATTATTTACACATACTGCTTTTATTTATAACAAATCAGCCACCAACCTCATAAATAAAGTACAAAATGCTTTATGTTATGACTGTGTCCCGCTGTGCACCAGATATGGAGGCAGGCTGTAAGGGTAACCACACAGCATTAAAAGGAGATACATCCCCAAAACAATCAAACTTAAAATGGGGGAGGAAAATAAAAGTGATACAAATGGGGTGGGGAAGGTGAAAGAATAAAAAAATGAGTTTGCAGCATTAAGGCATAAAATTAATTTTGAAGAGTCCTTTAAACAGCAAAGTTGTCACTACAAAGGTAGAAGTTAAAAGACAATGACAATTTTAAATTAAAGTGTAGTGACAATACCAGTATGAAACAAAATGATAATCATTGGCAGTTTAGAAAGGTGCAACATCCCATAATTTACTGTTTCAATTTCACGCAACTGACTTTTTATCAGAACTGCATTCCTTTCATACACTAGAGATTTCTTTTTTCCCTACAAAGCTTTAAATGCATATTTACAGCCCTTTGGAAGTTGCTCACACATTTCTCAAAATTGAAAAATAAAGTTAAAAAGAAATCAAACCACTCTCATACTTCCACAAACTTCCATTACATTATGTTTACTTTTTTTTAAAAGGGTAAGGTCTATATGTTTGGTACAGTCACATAAAATTAATGTTGGCAGTATTCTTTTTTTCCCATTACACTTAAGTTCTTGTTGTACAGAAATGAAAACAAGGACGTGGAAAGATTCTATGATCTATGTTACAAGGAAAAAAAAAGTTAACACAGACTTCCAAACCAATACAAAATTACGAAACTGACTTATCCATGTGCTATTTGTTCCAACATCCACCTTTGACTTTTGATTAAAAGAGTGGAACCAGAGGATCGGGTTGGTCACTCTTTTCAGCCTGCTCAGCTTGTAATGGTCCCAGCCCCCCTGACTCAGTTACCTGAGTTTTGAAAACAGCGGCGAAAACGGCTGAGACGCGGCAGAGACAACATGGTCTTGTTGTCAGAGGCAACCCGAGGACCAGCTAGTTTCTCAAATGAGGCGATTAAAAAATGCCGTCAGTGTCAATTGGCAATTGAGTAGGTAATAACACTCAATTTGAGTGATATAGTTGGCAAAAACCAGGCTCGAGGCCCAGGGTGTGGGGACAACCAAAATCACCGCCTTCCAGCATGCAAGCAGACTAAATTAGGGCACTTCTCTAACAAAGTTCATAAACTTGTCCAACAAAACAATTACTGGTCCTTACAAATCTTTGTTTCAACTATGCTTTAAGTTTAAAACTAAAAATACTGCAAGTAAATGCATTCTCATAAACAAGTTTCTGTTCATCCACTCCCTGTGAGATACAGATGAAAAGTGATTTGTGCTAATTGTAAAAATGGCTTCAAGAAGCCCCAAACATTGAAAATTAAAGAGCAGAAAACATTTGGCAAAAATTTGTAAGATAATGACATTTTGTGCCAGTGAAGATACATATAAAAACGACTGAAGACTTGTTCATATGATCCAGAGTGGAAGGCAATAGCCATGCACACACATTTCATTTTAACATCAAAGGAAACAATATTGTCCATTCTTCATGTAACGATAAAAACTAAAAGCTAAAATTCAAGGGGAAGTTTTCCCCACCCCTTAACCGATCCACAAATCAATAAAAACTGATGCAGCAGCAGCAACGGCATCTGAAACACATGTCGCCTGATGCTTGGTTCTGGCGGCTGTGCAACTGAAAGATGCCATAGTTTTGCGGTGCCTTGGCTTGTGCTGGTGGTGCCCCTTTTCTGTGATGATGACAGCTGTATGGCGGTCATTGGACTGTCAAACTGGGCTTAGTTCCAAATACGGAGGAAGCTATCCCATGAGCCGGTGGCAACTGCCATGCCATCTTCTGTTACACCCAAGCAGCTAACTCTGTTGTCGTGGCCAGCAAGGATACCTGAGAAACACA